GTCACAAATCACAACTACCGGTTCAATATATAACAAATCTGTGCAAATCCTAGAATATGCTGATGATATCAATATTGTTCATATTTTAAATATTCTATATATTCTACCTAGGGGAAGATATCCAAGCCTTTTGGTAGACCAAACAAAAATATTGATTAACCAAGGGTTGCATGAAGCCGAACAACTAGCCCAGGGACAGAGAAGGATGGAGGGAAATCGTGAAAAAAACTTGTTGAAGACCTGATATGTCACCACATCCCAAAAGGGATTAGGACTGAGGAAGAGGAGGAGGAGGATCAATATTGTTGGGAGAACGGAAAACAAGATTCCTAGATAACATAGACCAATAAATAATATTAATGGGGGGTTATTAACAGTAGAGTATGAGTTATAAACCTGTGGGAGTATGCATTTAAAAGACTCACATGACAACAGAAAGGCATATCCCATCGATGGAGAAAAGGATCTAAACCATCTACGATTATTGCGGAACGACTACTACGTCGCTACTGGACAGTTACATCTGGGGAGCAGCAATCCAAGAACATGCTCCAAGACTCTGAATGACATACGACAAGAAAACGGGCGCTGGAGAATAAAATTCGAGAAAACCAACAAAATGCATGACCAATATGGTTCCCGCGAAGACGAGAAAGAGATACAGATTACATTGACAAACAATGGTAGAATTAATCGCTAACATACACCTACTTGGGATCCTGAAATTAGAAATAACCAGACGTACAACCCAAAACTGCGAGACAAGCTAACTAGACGACTCACCGTTGGGATGGGCGGCAATATGGGAGGATGTGAGACATTTTTAAAACAAATTATACCCCAATTCACCTGAAAAGGAAGGCATTTGAACCACAATGTACTCCTTACCCAGATCTGGACCTACGGAGCACGAGACCTCCAACTTGTAACGAAAGCTACTGCGAAAACTGAGGGTAACACAAAGGCGAATGGAGAGATCAAATGGTGGGCCTGACCTTGAAAGATTCGCGTTAAGAAATGGAGGAGATACGCCGACGACGAACTGGCGTTAGACGATAGTATACTGCGAATCAATAAACAAAAGTGGAGGGTGGGCTGGACTATGTTGCTAGAATGGAAGACGGAAGATGGACAGAAGAGAGTATTGGACGTGGAGACCATAGAGCAGCGGAACAAGCGAAGTCGACGGCAGACCACCCACCCGATGGACCCGACGACCTAATGGAGAATAAATAGAAAACAAACTGGGATTGCGGCAGCTAGGAGATTAGAGAGAACTGGAGACGTTTGGGTGGAGGCCTATAGTCCAACATCGATATAAATATTCGGCCAGGATGTGATGATGATTAACAGTTGGTTTAGGAAAGAAAGATGCTGATAAATTAGTAGGAAAATACGGGAGATGACACCCACGTTCAACAATGGTGAAAGATCATAGATTTATGCAACCAGATGACTTAGAATTGAAATGAATACTTTCCACATAAACTAATATACAAGGCTATACATAGATTCAGGAAACACCAACCAAAACATAAAAAAAATCAAGTCACACATGGCAAGGGTGCCAAACAATGTAAAACAAGCATTTTAAGGGATCAATCCCTCAGCACAAGAAAATAAAAAAGCCGCTATATGAGGAGATTGCGATACTAAAGTATCACTTTATAACTAGTTGTGAGGTAATAGCCAGTGAAAAAAGAGACCACTATCAACGTGAATGAAAGCGACGGAATGGATTTTAGAAAGAAGGGAGCGCAGGCAGATCTAGAAATGAGAAAGGATCACCACCGAAACGTATTAGAGAAATAATGGGAATCAAACGAACAATCACAGATGACCTAACAGCAAAACAACTTATCTGGTTCGGACACATACAAAGAATGGATGAACACGAATGCCAAAAGAAATCATTAAAAATGGCAACCAGAGGGAAAGAGAAAACGAGGTAGACCGAGAAAGGCGGAGAACGATATAAACGACAAGTAGTGTAGTGGTAGAATCTTAGTTTATCTTTATGTTTGCAATGAGTTTAACCATTATCACTTGGTATGTGGTGCTTAACAATTAACTTAACGGTTATTAACGGTATTAATAACGATAAAAGTATTTATTAAAACAAATTTTTATATTCTTGCATCTGTTTATAACTCTTGCATCAAATACTTTATTTATTATTTAGTTTTAAGTAAAATTAACAAGCATTATTTTTAATAAGTATCATTTCACGCAATATAAATATCAGATCTTATAAATTAAATTACTCCTGACATTGAAAACGCTATAAAAAGAACCAATGAGCTCATTTGCTAATAATAATAATAATAGTCTATCTCTAATAGACCAATTTGATGTTGATAACGCCAAGGTGTGAATCTCATTTATGAAAAGATTCATGTATAATTACTAACAAGTAACTAAGGATAACCTTACCAATTGAAATTATTACAACACTTTTCAGGAAACCTGCTACTCATATATATCGAATTTGATAATTGCTGGGAATGATTTCATCATTTTTAATTTGTTTCAAAACCATTAAAGTTTATCTTATTATATACCGAGCACTAGCAAATGTTAATTGCTAGAACTCAAGGTGCACTCATTAAAATTAGGAATGCCAAGAAACGAATAGTGTAGCCAAATAAGTGAATAGTGACATTCGATACGAGCGAGAAATTTCTAAAGCGAGCGTTACCGAAATTGATTTCTAGAGGCGATCTGGCTGAGAGAATCAGAGAATACGAAAAAGTTTATTGACGAATTAGATCCAATAATGAAGTTAAAATGAAGCTTAATAAATAAAACACCTAATTAGACTTCTTCTTCTTCCTCTTAGAGTGCCGTCTCCTACGGAGGTTGGCAATCATAATGGCTATTTTTATTTTTGAACTTGCTGCTCTCTTTTGATCTGCATTGATACCAATCACGCAGATTCTTCAATCGTGAGTTCTGTTTCCTCAAACAGATCTTCTTCCTTGAATATTTCCCTGTCTTATAAGTCTCAAAATTTTATTTTGGTCCCCTCATCACGTGGCCTAGGTATTCCGTTTTCTGGTTTGTATAGTGGTGATTAGTTCTGTTTCTTTACCAACCCTCTTCAGTACTTCTTTATTTGTAATTCTATCAGTCCCAAATAATTTTTGTATTTATATTAACATTCCCACTTATTTTGTAATTTGTATTTTATTTCTTCGTCTTTTACACTTATTAATTTTTGGTTGTTTTCTGAGTTCAATTCTTTTTAATTTTAATTTCACGCCAGCAACTAACGGATTGTGGTCTGAGTTAACATCTGCTCCAGGATAAGTTTTAACTGAGGTTATAGAGTTTGTATATCTGCTATTGTAAATAGTCTTCTCTTAGGAAGCTGAAACTAAGTATTGGCAATTACCATATTCTTTTCTTGGCAGAATTCTATGAGCCTTTCTGCTCTCTCGTTTCTAGTTTCTAATCCGAACTGTCCAATTATATTTTCAATTGTACCTACTCCAATTATTGCATTAAACTCCTAAATGTAAGTAATATCTCTATTGCAGCTGGGTACACGCAAAAAATTATTTGAATACTAAGTATTTCGTAAGTATTGGATTTTTTACAATCACATTGCTATAGAGTTCAACGATATTATTCTTATTATCAAAATAGACTTGTTTGTCAATTCCTGAGTATTGATTAACTTCGTCATACTGCGGTTTGAACCCGATACTGAACACACATTTAAATTATTAATTAACGCTAAATTGACTAAGTGTGTTTACGGAATTTACTGTACCTTAAAAGGTAAAACCTTTTGCAACTATTTTGCGTTTTTGCTAAACAAACAATTAAAAAAGGAAAACATTGTACCAGATAAAATTGATAACAATATATTTACTTTAAAAATAATGCTGTAGGTTTTATTCAACTTCCGATTTCGATGTAAACAATCTAAAAACATAGATTTCGTCGCAATAATCGTCGCAATCCTAAAGAAAAAAGAAGTCCTATCTTATCGTAAGGTTATGCTACTTTATTAGTAATCACGAGATTGCGGTTATGTTACATTACATACAGGAAAACAATAATAAACAAAAGTTCTAGGAACGGTTTTTTATCAAGTTTTGTTAGCAATTAGGTTCGTTGACTTGTTTCTTCTCGGACAAGTCGAAACTCGAGAAAGAACTTAGAATTTATGATGAGGCGCACACCGAATGACTCATCTGCCGATGATACATTATGTTAACTTTCACAACAAATTTGCATGGACGTGTACGGATGGAAGGTAAACGGGAATTAACCTAGCATTGAAATGCAATTTTAGTTTTCGTTTGAAGGGGTAACGAACCAAAAGGGTCTAAGTGGACATTTTTTTTTAAATGATTTAAATGCCATTTTGTTCGAAACCTGAGAAAATCTAATAAATATTTTGATGAACAATTTAAACACAGAATGAAAGGAAATACATTATAACCCGAGGCCCGAAAGTCCCTGACAAATTTCTATGTTGTTTATTTTAATAAGTTACAGGGGGTAAACAAACAGAGAAAGAAAAAATTTAGTGTGATTTTTTAAATTTCAAATATCTTCCTTCAAAAAAAACTTTTTGATTATTATTTCTAAGGGTACCTATCCGGGCCCTCGGTAATAATGTAGTCCTTCTATTCTGCGTTTAAATTTTTCCAAAACTATTTGTAAGTTTTCGTCAGGATTCGAAAAAAAATAATGCATTTAAAAAGCCATTGGCCCGAAATTTTGCTCGCATACGCTCTTTAAAGCTAAACATTACCTTTTTTACTGGCAAAACGATCCAATTGATTTTTAAACGTTTTGCGCCATCTCTTGGTAAGGGGAAAAATTAGGTTTACAGATGTCCTGTTTTCATTAGTGGCAAAGAGGTCCAAGCGCGCTTAGACCATTATGCCGCTAATTTATTATCAGTTGTTGATTATTATCCACGTTGTGTCTTGCAAGTTTAGTGTAGTTTTCGAAGTGAAATATTAAGTTTATAGTGTTTGAACATGACTACAGAAAAGAGAATTGCATCAGGTAAATTTAGAATTTTAAAGAATATAGATATTTTATTAAATAATTTATATTTATAGGATTTTTTAAATTCAAATTAAACCTAACCTAAAATATTTTTAGGGGGAGTAAGCTATAGCTTAGATTCGGATGATAGTGAACACGACCCCTTCGAAGCAGACGAGGATAGTGAATACTACCCATCCGAGGATTTTGATGAATCTATAGAATATGTTGAATCGGAAATTAGTGGCACGGAGAATAGACCTTCTACTAGTGGTATTCATGGTATGTTATTTTGATAGTGCTGAAAAACAGTAATAATAATGCTTGCTATTTATTACAGTTACCCCAAAAAATACCAGAAAAAGGAATAAGGATATGGGTAAATGGAAGAATCAGCAAAGAAAGCGGGCTAGAAAAGTGACAACGAGTAAGTGACTAGTAAAGAAAAAAGGTTACGAAAAAGGTGTTAAAACCATATGACCATCGTTGTAGATATGAGTGTGACAAAATATCTGAACAACAGAGAATAAATCTCTTCACTAAGTGTTATGAAATTCAAACGTATGATTTGCAAACGCAGTATTTGGCATCTTGTATAAGTAAAACGGATATAAAGCGACCTAATCGTGGGGCAGTTTCGCATAAAAATTTTGCTACAATATTACGTCTTATGAATTTTTCTTAATACATTTGACATATCCAACAGAAAACTCCGAATTGTTTGCCAAAAAAAAAACTTCTGAAGGTATTACTAAAACTGACAAACGAGAATCTCACACTCCTTCGAATAAAATTGGCCTGAATATTCGCAATGATGTCATAGGTCACATAAAAATGTTTCCCCGCTATAAGAGCCATTATTCGCGGACTCAGAACAATAATTCAAGTTACCTTCCAGAGGATTTAAATATAAAAAAATGTACTTAATGTATATAGAGTGGTGCAAAGAAACAAATAGAAATCCTGTTAAAGATTCATACTACAGATTCCATATTACAACATTTTTTGTTCAGAGTTTAATCTAACATTCCACAAGCCACATTCTTATATGTGCCATCCATGTGACCGATTCAATACTATAATACAAAATTCTGTCGATTTGGAAGTGTTGGCTAAAAGCAAAGCCGAATTAGAACTCCATCAAAGGAAGGTAGAAAGTGTAACAAATGGCAAAAAATTAGACATAGAACATGGAAGGGCAAATCCAGTAAAAGTTCGTGTAGTGTGTTTTGATCTACAGAAAACTCTTCCAACACCGCTACTTTCAACAAATAAAGTTTACTATCTACGTCAGTTATGGACGTATAACTTCTGTGTCCACGATCTTATTAGTGAAATATCCTTTATGTACATCTGGAATGAGACCATTGTCCAACGAGGATACCAAGAAATTGGATCATGTTTTATTAAGGTAAAGCTATACCTTACTTAGTCATTGTTTAATAATAATTAATATTTTTGTTGTAGTACATAAAAGATTTGCCATCAACTGTCGCAGAACTCATTTGCTACAGTGACCAATGTGGTGGCCAAAATAAAAATAAGAACATTGCTAAATTGTTTATGTTTTTGATTCAAAGTACTACTTTGAAAATATTACAACATAATTTTTTTGAGCCAGGACATTCGTATATGGAATGCGACCGTTCTTTTGCTAGAATCGAGAAAAGAAGAGAGCTATTCTTAAACATTTTTATGCCAGAATATTGGACAGATTTAATAACAAAAACTTCCAAAAAGTTTAAGTATATACCATGGAACAAAATGACTTTCTCGACTTTGACTACCTTCATAGGATCATGTGTGATCCAAAAAAAGACATGAAAAAGCGACCAATAAAATGGCGAGAAATCGTATGGTTTGAGTACTGACACGAACACTTTTTATTCCTTGTGTTCCATACAACGAGGCATCCAAATACTGGCCTTGCTTTCCAATCTGAAAGGTGTTCATTACTTAGGTAGGTAGACCAAATTTATCTGTGGAAAATTTAAACCAACCCCTGTATAGAGCCGTTTTGGAAATTCCATATGCTAAGTGGGAAAATCTTATTCAGCTGTTGCCTTTTATTCCCCCAGTTTATCATACCTTTTACCAAAATATGGCCCATCAACCCAAAAAGAATAAAAATTCAACAAAAAGTAAGCCAACGACGGAAACTCAAACGGAAGAAAATGTCCAAGAAGAAAATAATGATCTTGACATCTATTCTGACTATGACAATTAATATTTCTTTATGTTTACTATTGCAATAAAGTCTTCTTATAAGGAAAATAATCGTTTTCTAAAAAAAAACATCTAAAAAAGATTAGAATCAAAGAGGTCTAAGTGACTTTTTTTGTTAATCAAGCATGTAACAACATTTGTGAATCTTAATTAAACACTTAAATATAATATGCGCTTTTTCCTTAAAAACCCTATACGAAATGTCTTTACAGATTTTACAATAAGCAATTAGCTTTAGCATTGAATATCTCCTAATGAACATAACGGCACTTAGATCCTTTTGGTTCTTACCCCTTTCGTTTATAGTGTGCACAATAAAACTAATACACTGATTGAACTTTGCTTGATCTTCTTTACTTTTTGTGGAAAAACTTATGAACCCGTAACTGGTGAGGTCCATTTTTTGTTACGTGTATGGTGAGTTGGGGTCACACTGACCCCAATTTGTTTTGCAAAATTAGACACTGATATTTGTTTATATTAAAAAAAAATGACTTCAATACTTAAAGACGTTTATTTTGTTATAACATAAATTTAACAAATATTTGAAAATACTTATCACGCATAAAAAATTAAACTAAGAAACAGCCTCAAAAATTGAGTTATTTTGTAACTAGACTAAACATTATCCTGTAACAAAAAAATGAGGAACATAAAATTTTTTTTTCTTAAAACATAAACATTCATTAACCTACCAACACAAAAAAATACCAAAAAACAAAAAACATCATAAAAACTACAATCCATTCTTACTAGGCAATCTTTGCAAATGTGTGTTTCACATCATGTGGCATATTGGCGCTTTGCAACTAACGCAAACTATCTTCGTTTTTCTATCCAATGATCGTGGACATTTTGAGCACCTTACTCTTTTTTCTAAAATAGCATTTTTCTGTTCAGGAATGTCTGTTTTTAAAATGGAAGCGATATTATGTCTCAGTTGCCTTGGAATTTGAGAAATAGTTAGTCTTCTTTCCATATGATCCTGCACAAGCTGCCGAGCCAGAGATTTGATGAATTCATACCTCGACTTTTGGGGGTTTCCAGGTAGGGATGAGTATATTATAAACGCATTGACGGAAGAAATATCCAAAATTGTATAAAAACAAGTAAGAGGCCATCTTCGACTTCTACGATGTGTAGAATACACTGTACATTTTTCATCTAATGCATCGACGCCTCCTTTTGTTTGATTATAAAACTCGATAATTTCGGGTTTGTTTGTTTCATCGTTTACTGCATTACTGTAGTGCATTGAAGACATCAAAAGTAGCGCTTTTCGTGGTTTAGGTACATATGAAACTAATGTAACTCTATCGCCAAATCCAAATAGAGATGATCCGTGAGCCTCGTTTTAGTTGGCAAAAAAGAAATAGGTATCTCCCTTTTATTTTTTTTTAACAGTACCCACGTAAGTTAGGCCTCGGTTCCTCAACTCAGTTATCACTTCTAAGGATGTAAACCAGTTGTCTGCTGTTACGTTACGGTTAGAACCCTCAATACATTTTACTAGACGAAGAACTGATTGCGTTGGTTTGTTAAATTTTCTTTCCTCTTCTGACAATGTTTGGCCATCACTTCAGCACCTGTATATACATACCCATCCAAAAAGTAATGGGTTCGGGCGTCAGTTAGTGCCATTATCTTTAAGCCATATTTTCGGGGTTTTTGAGGCATGTACATGCGAAATAAACATTTTCCCGAAAACCAATGAGCATTTCATCAATACAAGCATACTGCCCTATGCAATAATTTTTTTGCTGTTTTCTACAAACTTATTGAAAATTGATGAAATGGGGCAAGTTTTTCGTTTTTTTACGTTCTTCCCTCTGTTCGTCAAACTAAGCGCTGTCAAAAGTCTAAGAATCGTTTTACTGACATGGTGCATCTAAAAATTTCTCTACCAATACCGTCGGTGGCGAATATCGAACTCAAGTCTTCCGTATTGGATTTAAATATGGCTGAGTAAAATAACAAACCGATAAACGCTCTCAGTTCAATAATGTCTAAATCTTTTAGATTCTTTCTATTTACTATCAGTAATAGAGAAGACCTAAATATCCAGTTTTTCAATTTTTTAAGAACAAATCCTTCATATAAATATCGTTTGTTATTATACATTCCCAAGCACTTTTTTGGAGACACAAGGCACAAGAGACTTGGCTGGCCAAATAACCCAGGGAAGATGAGAGATAATGTTAAAAACTTCATTGTTTCTTACATTTGAACGTGCCTGGAGTTTGTTGATGGTCATGTGGACTTGAGACTCTGAATTAACCTCTAAAGGTGCTGCATTTTGCGGAATATATATCTTCAACATCCAATTAGAGGTCTGAAGTCATCGTTTACGGTTGAAAATCAAGAAATATCAATGACTCCTTTATTTCACATTGTTTTTGTAGTTGCCCAGTCCAACCCCCTTGCCATTAACTTATCCACGAACTTCTATTCTCTCCGTAACAAACCCATGAGTGCTCCGTTCGCACAAGTAGCGTATCATTTTGCTTGCCCTAACTTTACCCCCCCTAACTCTAACACCCTGAGATAGGCAAACTATATTCGTTTACAATCTATCCTTAACTTTAAATTGTTCTAATATCAAAATACGGTAATTACTAATTATAAAACTGGGAATATAGCCACAATTAAATTATAAAAAATACGGTTTATTTGACGTTTCAAATTTCCATTCGTTCTCTCAAAATACAGACAGAAAATTAAACAAATTTTCTTTTTCTTTTTGTTTACATAGTGAAAAAAATGTCTTCTAATAATTATAATGTTAATCTGACTCATTTAAATATTGACAATTCAGATATATCCATTTTTGCATCTTTTCAAGTAGACGACTTTAAAAAATGATTAATGCCAATATTGTTCTGAGTTGCGCACCTGGGACGACTTTGAGACTTCTGTATAAGATAGTTCATTTCGATTACATGAAATCAAACTTTAACTTGAGACGATACCGGCCGTCAGAAAAAATCATCAGCATGTAATTTCGTCTTGTAAAAAGACAAACCCAATGACAATGATGAACAGTAAAATTCTCCTGTTAGTAATTCCCATAGTAAATTATGAAGGGAAAAACCAGGGAAAAAAACCTCTTAATACTATCCCGACATTGTAAGGAATAGTTCGTGAATTTAGTTTCTACCATTCAACATAAAGGTATTTAGCATACACAAGGAATAATATGAGGAAAAATAAACAATACCGTACATAAAAGGATTATCAGAAAAACTTAAAAGGATAGGAAATAATATTCAAACATTTCAACAACATTCCGAACACACACAAACACGTTTGAGATCGATTTTGTTCCCAAAACCAAAACCTAACAAAGAACAAGGAAAGGACATAGAATTGCATTTATAAAATAACTTGATGAATGCGAATCAGTTTTTTATTTAGGTGAATCATCAAGAGACCATTAAATGTTAGAATAGATGAACATCAATCTTATATTAAAAATAGAGGGGAATTTGATAGAGATCTCAAATATGTAAAACAACGCATGGGATAATGAACATAGGGTTCAATGGACTAATTTCAAATATAGTCCTAAAAGAAACGGATGGTAAAAAAAAAAAAAATCAAAAGAAGCGGCTCTAATTATGCTAAAACGATGGCCAATTGTTGTCGCAAATTCCTCGAGCAGAATGTAGTAGAATCTGGTTACCAATATTGAGAAGAGGAATGGTTATTAATAAGAAAATACCAGTATTATTAGTACTCAGTTAACATATAGAGGATACATCATTTATGTTTTTTATAATAACGTAACATATAAAATCAGAAATTTTGATGTCTGTTGAAGGTAAACTAATATTCACGAACAAAATACTTACAATTGTCGCGGAGAGTATTATGAAGGTTTTTTTTCCTGGATTTCCCCTCATAATTTACTATGGAATCACTAACAGGAGAATGTTTTACTGTCAGCATGGTCCATGTGTTTGTCCTTTTAAAAAGACGAATTACATGCTATGTAGAGGTTTTTTTTTTTTACGGATATTCTCAAGTTAAAGTTGATTTTCATGTTAATCGAATGAACTATCTTATAAGTAGAGTCGGTCCCAGGAGCGCAACTCTAACAATTATTGGCAATTAACCCCCCTCATTTTAAAGTCTCGTCTACTTTAAAATGCATTAATGTCTGTCTGAATGGTCAATATAAATGAGTCCAGATAAAATTAAATTATTGAAGAATTATTTCAACCTATGTAACAAAAAAACAAAATTTGTTTAATTTACATGTCTGTATTTTTGAGAACGATATTTCGGAATTGGAAATGGAAAACGTCAATAAACGTATTTTTATTCTTTAATTGTGGCTTATTTTCCCAGTATATAAATTCAGGGTAATAAATTACAATGCACACAGGAAAATAGTTCAGTAACAATATCGATACTATTGTCGCGATGATCAATCCAAGATATTCCTAACATGGCGGCGGCAATACCCACATTTCAAAAGCTTTCAATTTAGTTTATTATCCGCATTCTTTAGAGTCCAAATTGCGGATTGCATATTGTGGCATAGGAAAATAATGTACTCAATCAGAGCGCCCTTACCACCCAGTCTTAAGTTTTGTGTGTATTGTTATTGTGAGGAATTTATCCAAGAATGCTTACCAGTTCATCCATAGCTGTTCTTAGCAGTAATCAAACCTTTTACGAATCTCTTCTGTCACACCCTCCATCAAATTGGTATTAGGGACTACAGGTATATGAAACCTATTTTACTACTTCAAAGTTCCCAATTATGATTCTTTACTCATGTATATAATATTTGTAAATCAATTTTACACAAAGATATGAAAAAAATTTAATGGAGTATACAGTGATAGAGGTGCAAGAAATGTTTTTCTAATATATATTTCAAATATTAAAATATTTATAAGTTATAATTATTGCAGTCTAGAAACGCCTATGCCAGTAGAGTGCAATACACCTATTAATTTATTTTATTATTTGCACGATACAGGTGAGATGACT